GGACAAATGGCCCATTCCCGATGTCTTTGAACAGGGACAACGCCACTTTATTTTCTTTTACAAAAAACAAAGTTTGTATGCTTCTATATAAACCTGAAATGAGTAGTAAGTGCGTTGAATGCGGTTTTGGTTGGCTTCTTTATGAAATGGATTCTGGAAAACAAAAACTACTAAATGCCTTTTCATACCAAAAGTTTGAAATGCATTAGAGTAAACAACTGTTGCACCAATTTCGTGTATTGAGGTCAGGAGGCGTTGTGCTAAGACTCGAGGTTCCATTCTAAAAGTTCAACCTTTTATTAGCCCAAAATCTTATATAGTGTTTTATTATTTTATACCTTTCCGGTGTGAAGCAAATACTTTAACACGCCCCCTCAGTCCTGAACCGGGCTGGATAATATCGGGGTATATAAATGAACCAAATAGATCCTTAACAAGCTACTCTTAATCATGAGTTCTAAACAAGCAGTCAATCCACAACCGCACTTAGCTCTGATACCATGTTAAGACTCGGGATACCATCCTAAAAGGTCAACCTGATAGGAGAGGGGCCCAAATCTTAATATAATGTTTTAATTGTTAAGACTCAGAGTTCCATCCTAAAAGGGCAACCTGATAGGAGTAGCTCAAAGCCTTAAATAGTGTTTTATTTTTTTATAAATTTTCGGTGTGAGACAAATACTTTAACACGTCCATATTGGATGTGCAGTTCTGCCTGGAAATCCAGCTAAACCAGAGAAATTTGTTGTGATGATCTTTCCATCGAAAGATTCATGGCTTTCTGACGGCCTGGAGAGTCTACTTAGGGTCTGTTTGCAACAACTTCTGCTTTTAAAAAAGTGCTTTTTTTAATGAAATGGGTAGAAGTGATTAAATAAAAGTTGATAGTGTTTGAGAAAAAAGTGATTTTGAAAAGTAAAAGTGGGTAGTGTTTGGTAAAATAAGTGTTTTTTGTGTAATAGAAAAAGTAAAAACACTTTTGACGCGGAAGCCGAGAAAAATAAAAGTTGTAGTGTTTGGAAAAATAAGTGCTTTTTTAAAGCCAAAAGTTGAGAAGTGTTTTTTTAAAAGTAGTTGCAAACCAACCCTTAGAATTTCTTGGAATCACGTGGGGAACCTGAGAATATGAATAGTTATTATGACCTTGCGTTCCATAGTATGAATTGGACAGAAAAAGAGGTAGCATGTTTTGAAGGGGGGGTGCGTAAGGCAGCTCATGTCAATTTTTATCGCGGAAAGTTCTATGTCGTAGATTATGTTGGAAATGTTTGTGTGGGATCCCTCAACAAATGATCAAGCACGACACATATTTTCCATGGATAAGAATCTTGCTTTGACATAGACTGTGTGTTTGGTGGAATCTTCGAAAGGTGATCTACTTCTTGTCAGAATTCATCCTACATACGGCCGTGAAGGAGGGGAGTCAAACACTAGCCAACTTGGAACCATTTTTAACATGTGACTCGAATGATATCCGAGGGGATCACCTTGTCATTGTCTTCGAAAAAATGTTGATTCATTTGGATGTCATTAACAAAATATAGACTGAAAGAGGGAATTTAGGAGAAATGCATTGTTTACTGGCACTAGTCATTCCATTTCGATTCGGGCTCCGAACTTTCCAAATGTGACTTAGGGTTCCATCCTAAAAGGTCAACCTTATGAGAGGAGTAACTCGGATATTAATATATCACTTAATTCCTTCACAAATATATCTGGTGTGGGAATTATTTAACACCCCTCTTTAAGACCAGACACTTCGTCTGGATCAAGTCGTCATTCATTTTTTTTCATTATTGAGTCAAATACTTTAACACATACCATCATCCTGAACTGACTGAACAATATCCAGGTGTACAATTAGGCCAAATAGACCCTTAACAAGCTACCCTTAATCATGGGTGTTAAACAAGCAATTAAACGACAACCGGACTTTGCTCTGATACCATGTTAAGACTCAGGGTTCTATCCTAAAATATCAACCTAATAGGAGGAGAAATTCAAACCATAATATAACATTTAATTCCTTCACGGGTATCCGCCGTGGGAGTTATTCAACAATTTCGGATGTGATCTATGTGACTCGGCGAGGACATTCGTTTCACTATCTTTAGCTTAACTTTTAGTTTTAACATGTTCCACACAGTGTATTTATATTTCACATGCCCAATAATGGTCATGCAATTCCCTTTTTCATGCTTAAGGACATATGTAGTATTACTAGTATTGTATGTATGTATAGATAGAATTGTCACCCATTCGTTTATGACAGGGAATTCTTAATTTGTAAGTTCTTTCCAGCAGGGGGTCAGGGTGATCAGCTGACCCCGCTAAAAGTTTGAGAGTATTGAACTCTGAAATATATTCGATTTGATATATATATTATGACCCTCGTAACTCATTACGAGTAAAAAATTATGACTTCTGCAGAACATCAGCACTATCAGCAAAATTTGATGTGTAATATTGATTTTCCTAATTTTCAAAAAGAAATGTTTAATAAACTCATTACTTACGTGACACGATTCGGCAACAGAGCAAAGACAATCTATCTTATTGCTATGACTGGCTATTTATCTAGATTACAAATGAAACATTCAATTTGAACATTGTCTAAAAACGATCTACCATTTTCATTTTGTACATAGTTGATTTTCGCCCCCCTGAGTCATTTTTCTGGCTCCGCCACTGCTTTCAAGGATATACTTCGTATAAGTTATCTGTTTATTATTTACTTTGGACAAGGAATGCATTCAAAGTATTTATAAGTTAAAATCTGATAATATTTTTCTAATTTGATTAGTAATGTGAGTTAAGTACTCATAGTTTGACAAATATATACGAAATATTTATGTATTTTTTTCCTAAAATATATTTTTTCAATAAAAAATCCGAATGATTCCTAGAGTGTCTGGTTGGATAATTGAATATACTTTGATTCGTAGCCAAAATATGAAAGCAAACTCTTATATAATTGAAACTAGTCAATCCACCCGTGCGTTGCACGGGGAACAAATGAAATCAATTTTTTTTACAAAGAATTTATTTCATGAGTAATGTGTATATACATATTTATTGTAGAAAAAAATAAAAACATGATACAAAATTATATTAGAATACATGTATGATAATTGTTAGTCCGTTGGACATACACCAATTAGCATAAAACTATAAAATAAGTATCCTTTCATCCCTAACAAATCTTGTCTAATGAAGATGATAACAATTGTTTTTTTAGATGATAACAATCGTTATCATATTACAATCTCATATGTAGTATTATTTATTTATGATATAATTATGATGATTATTCAACACATGACATTACTTTTTAATATCGTGCTTGTTGTGTTTTAAAGTTTCTAAATATATTCCATCTAAAAAGTGAAAATATTTATTTTATACTCCATATATAATATCTCTTGATTCATCTCAATATATGTTTTATAAAAGCTACAGATCAAGATTGTTAAAATCACTATATGTTTTATAAGAGCTACATATCAATGTTGTTAACATCGCGAGTTGAATCGTAAAATTGTATAATCCAATATCATTGAACCAATTTGACTCGTACACAAAATTGGAAATGCTAAAAATCTTTTCAAAATTGGGAAACATTATTTAAAATTATGATTTCAACGAATTTTTAAAATAGTTACTTATTTACTAATGAATAGTTATAGTAGAATTAAATAATTGAATTTTTGTATTTTTTGTTGCAGCTAATTATAAAAAACAATGACTCCCTCATCTCGTTAAATTGTGCTGACTTTATTTTTGCAGCTGCCCCAACCAAAATTGTCATTTCCATTTAAACTAATAAATGTGTAGGTAAATTATTTTTCTCAACTGATTTGTAAAAATCCGAATCACATACAAAGTAATTTTTTACTTCATTTATATTCCACATGCAAGTGAATTCTGAACACATTTAATGGGGTACTGAGTATTATCATTGTCATTTACATAATATTTGTATCCAAATATATCGTAATACTCTATTTTATATTCTGAAATTAGAACTTTTCATTTTTAACTTTATTATATTATGTCTCTTAATTAATTATGTATAATGTATCTTTTAATATTTTTCTAATTTTTTTTAATATTTAATGTATTTATGCTCAATATAATTTTCAAAGTTTTATTTATAACATACAACTATTAATTAGGTTGGCACTTAATATGGCATCACTAAGTAATGCTTCATTAAAGTGACAATAGTTTTATAAAGTTTTATTTATAACTTTCAAAAATTAAATAGGTTGGCACTTAATATGACTTCATTAAGTAATGGTTCATTAATAGTGACAACAATTTTTCACTTCTTTTGGCTCCAAATAGATTTCTATTTGGATCTCCACCATGTTGTCTTTATATATATAAAGATTGGTGATGAAGTTACGTTGTTGACCTGTTGCATGCTTATTTTATTTGAGTATAACTTGTATACTCAATTACTCAGTAGTGTAGTTATTCTGGTGTTTAACAATGCAGTATTGAGAGTTGAGACTTGTTTAAAAAGCCACTTACTCATTTGAATTGATGCCACCGTCCTCACATTATTATGTCCTGCTATAGAGTAAGATGATCTAATTATGTTGGCTCCAGATGAGGAAAATCAGAAATGTTATATGTTTCTATCATCAAGGTTAAATTTAATTACGATTTATGCATCTGCATGAAAGTCAATTGTTATAAAATCAAGTTTATATTATCACTAGAGTTAATGATTTTTTTTGCTTTCAAGTTTCTTACTTAACATTTATTTATCTCTATTACCAGTTGGGTAATTATTGTAAGCTTTAACTTTTTTTATAGGGAAAAGTGTCAAATAAGCCCTCCAACTATTACGAAAATGTCAATTAAGGACATGAACTCAAATAACACCCAATTAAGCATGTGGACTTGTAAAAAATGTTCAAATTTGCTTTTTGCTAGGTAATCTCCGGTCATCAAATAAATGGCGACATGTGGCGACACATGGCATTTTTCCCCTTTTGTTTCTTTTCTCCTTCCTTCCCCTCTTCTGTCGTTGACTCTTTCTTTGCCCTGCTACTCCCTCCCGTTCCCTGAGTTCATTTTCTTTCATTTTTAATCACTTCCACTTTTGCTTAATCACAACTCCAAGCTACTCCCAGTTTCTCACTTTTCTTTATTTTTTGGGTTTTGACATACGTCACATACCCTTCCTATCCATGGATACACAAAAAAAATTAGAACAATGTATAAAAGAACAAATTGATGGAGAAGATCGGCACATCATGTGACGGAACATTGGTAAGAGAGGAGGGCAGAGTTTGGTGAAGAGGCAGGCACTCTCTTTGCCGGAAATTGGCCGGAGAAGACGACCGGAGCTCGGACCGATTTCTATGGTTTCGCCGGAGGTTGACCGTGGAAGAAGACCGGCATTGGGATCCAACGGGCGGACATATTGGTGATTGTAAAATAAAGAATGAAAGAAAGAAAGGGAAAGAAGGGAAAGAAAGAGGCGCAGGAGAGGGGGAGTATGGCTGGAGAAGAAAAGGGAATGGGGGAAGAATGAGAGAAAGAAGGAAAACAAAGAAAGAAAAGGAAAAGCAAAAAGAAAAAGGAGAAAATACAAAAATTAAATGCCACGTCATATGTTTTTACTTGGAACCGGAATGTTACAGGCTAAAAAGCCAATTTGATTTTTTTTTTACGTGTTTGTAGGTCTAATTGGGTGTTATTTGGGTTCGTGTCCTTAGTTGACATTTTTGTAGTAGTAGAGAGCTTATTTGACACTTTTCTCTTTTTTATATTTTATGCATTTGATTATGTTAGAGAGAATTCTTAATTGTGTTATTTTGCAGGTATTTTACAGGTGGACAAATACTATTGTACGTTAGATTAGATGTAAGGTGTTAGATGAAAGTTCACAATTTTTTTTTAAAGTGTACCATTACGAGAGTTCCTATACCGCACGGCTGTACGGTGAGCCAGTGACTTTTATCAGTTGTGTACGGTAAAAGTAGGGGTGGGGAAAAATACCGAAATTTCGGTATATCGGACTTACCATATCGAAAAATACCGAATTTACCGAAGTGTTTGGTATACCGACACTTTTGGTACGGTATGATACTGACCGAATTACTTCGGTATGGTATCGGTATATATTTTGGAAATAAATGGTATACCGTTATACCGTCATACCGTAATTCCAAGCCAATAATTTCTTTAAAATTATAAAAATAACTAGAAAACACAACATTAATTCAAGGATAATGACTTTATATCCATGTTTCTTGAATTATTTATACTTTTTGTTGGAGATCGATGTTATTTCAAATGTATTTATGTTGTTTAAATTATTATTTTAGCAGAATGTGTTGTTATCTTCATATATCATGGGTTGAAGTATCCGTACATATTTATAATATTTTTTTGTTCAAAGTTGAATAGAACACAAATAGGTTATCATTGGTATTTTATAATTAATTTCATTAATAATTTTAGTATATCACTATTAACACTGATTTTCTATATTTCATTTGATATATAATAATTTTATATTAAATCATGATAATTTACCGATATCGTAGCTTACCATACCGAAATTTTGGTATACCGAAACAAGGTATACCGAAATTAGGTATGGTAACGGTATGTATTTTTGCATACCGAAAGTTTACGGTATGGTAAAGGTCTGAGATAAAATCTTCGGTATACCGTACCGAACCACCCCTAGGTAAAAGTATTGATATACTCCATCCGTTCCTTAAAACTTTGTCATTTTTCAATTTTAGGACGTCCCAAAAAATTTTGTAACTTTCCCTTTTAATCAATATTTTGTAGTTTCTATTATTTCTCTCTCCTCTGCACAAACCTCAATCACACAGTTTTACGAATTATTCTCCGTGCCGGTCAACTTTGGCAACGTTTTAAGAGACGAAGGTAGTATTTCAATTGATTTTAAGTGCACATGTAATACGCTGTAAAAAAAAGTGCACATGAAATATTAGTAATACAAAACGCAAGTGAAATTTGTTATTGTTTAATATATGGATGGTACGTGTTATAATTAGGACTGGATTCGGGCCGGGTCGGGTCCGGGCCGGGCCTGGGCGGGCTGCCGGTTCTGAATAGGTGGGCCCAAGACCGGCCCGGGTAGCCACTGGGTCCGGTCCGGGTCCGGGCCTCGGGTCAATTTTTTTTCCCTTTTCCTAATTAACCCCCCCCCCACCCCCAACCCCACAAACCACCCCAAATGGACCAAAATACCCAGCCCAACCCGAAAAGTTAAAAAAAATGTAAAAAAAAATTAAAAGCCCGGAACCGGGCCCGAACCGGCCGGGTCGGTTCAGCTTTTGGGTGACCCGAGCCCGCACGAGGAATCCCCAGGCCGGGTCTACCCGGACCGGTCACTGGCCGGGCCTACCCGGACCAGTCACTGGCCGGGCCTACCCGGACCGGTCACTGGCCGGGCCTACCCAGACCGGTCACTGGCCGGGCCACCGGGCCGGTTCCGGGTCGGGCCACCCTGCCCGAGTCCAGGACTACTTATAATGAACATTGGTTGTGAGTTGTGACCTTAAACCTACTACCTCCGTCCCTTAATACTTTACCATGTTTGACCGGCACGAGGATTAATAAAGTAAAAACTGTGTAGTAGAAATTTGTGGAGAGAGAGAATCATTTGGAACCACAAATTATTTACTTAAAAGGGAAAGTAGCAAAGTTAATGAGACATCTAAAAAAGAAAAATTGACAAAGTTTTAAGGGACGGAGAGAGTATTAATTTGTGTCATAGATCATATGCTAGATACAAACAATGTTCTAAAACTTTTTTGAGCAAAAGTTGACGATTCTCGTTTCCGATTTCCTCGTGATTTTTGCGTTTTGGTACAACATAGCTTAGTGTCATGCCCAAATAGAGTATAGCAGATGCTAATAATAACAACATGAAAAACATATCCAGTCTAAATCCAAACACATCAAAGAATCCTATTACCATTATGCGACCCCATACCCCCTTTCCCTCGCCGACCATTGCTGCTGCTGTGCTTACGTGCAACTACAGCCCACCCGCCACCATCATCATCATCTTCAGCAGTTGACTGAGAAGACATGCATACATCACCGTCAATCGCCATTTCATCACCACCATTTGCAGCAGCAGCAGGATGAGACATCGGAAAATCTAGAGCCATCATATTTGATGTGCCACCACAATTATTCACTGGACTCCCAACATCATCTTCAGCATCAGAATCATCACTATCCCAGCTGTTATCATCACTCTCATAAACGGTTGCCTGCATGCAAAATTTACAGGGATGATCAAATTCAAAAAAAAAAAAAAAATTTTAACCGGCAGCATATAATGGAAGCGTCACATTCTGAACTTGGGGTCCATTTGGGTAGAAGGATGAAATATAGTCACCTTCCCAACATGGGCACCAATCCAAGCGGGTGGTTTCCAAGCCCTTAACCTCTCTACAAAACTATAGTCTCCTTTCATGCATCCTTCATGAACACGCATAATATTGGATGCTACCTGATTAAAGATGACCCAATTGAGTTAGGACATCAGACAAATAATATCAATCATCATCATAACAAGTCAAAGAAAGTTGTCAAGTGAACATTACGCCGCTACTAAATCAAAATAAATCAGAATTCAGAACAAATAAATATATAAAACATTATGTGTTTGTTTATACATACAAACACTGATCGGAACTAGGAAAGGGTACATGAGATCGTAACTCAAGGATTGTGAGATTCTAGAATAAAAACTGGCATGCATACATACATATGTGTGTGTGAAAAAATATGTGTGTATGAATGCACAAATTTTTCAAAAGTGAGAAATGCATCTAGTGTACGAAATGAGAATGAATCACAACCATTGAATTTACGATGTTGCATTATAAACAGCTTAATGATGCACTAGGATTGAATTTTTGCAATGTTGCACTAAGATTTGATTATGCATAAAACAACTTCAAGTTGCACTAGAAAGGTGTAACACAGACTTTTCAGCGCAACATTAAACACTTTTACTACAATATAGTCGAATTCAACGGCTGAGATTCATTCTCAATTTTCGCCTAAATATTTCTTCTTATTAGGATCTCACCCTATATGCATATCAGCATATATACTTAACTTCAGAACTCTATTTATTCACCAGATTATGTTGATATTAAGAACATAATGTCAACATTTAGGATATAAAATAAAACATTTAACACAACAAGCTCAAAGATAAATTGCAAATAGTTTGAACATAATAAGAGGACATCTTAGGAAAAATCATGTGCTGTGATATCAAGGTAGAAAGGTCACGAGAAAAGAGCTGATGATGACAGGAAAATTATTAGAAATGAAGTTTGAATCATTTTCTTGTAAATGATCCCAATGGCAGTATTTTCACATAAGCTATTGATGCGTCTGGTCACTGTAGAAGATGCAAAGATAATGTCTAAGTTGCTCGATAATATTGGCAAGGAAGTCTTAGTTGTATTGCACGAATTGTATTGCAACCTATAATGCACGAAAACGCTAGAGGGTAGAAGTTTTCCCGTATCAGAAATGTAATAATGTTTCTGCTTGGACCTATTATTTATTTTCAGATATTGAGAAATGTGTTTTTCTTAATTTTCAGATATTGGGAAATGTGTCCCCCCCCGCCCCCCCCCCCCAGAAAAGAGTTTTAGAAGTTTGTTGGTCAAAACAGAAACTTAAATTAGGAAAGCATATACCCCACACTTGTTTTTGTCAAAGAAAGAAAGCGATCTTGATGAGAAGATTCGATAATAGAAAGCTCAGAGTCTAGTGATCAGACCAACTTTACAAAACGCATTTATCAAACAATGCAATCGTTGAAATTGAAATCTATGTTTACTTCAAAGCAATACTCTGTACATATCATCCAGTTGGTTAAGGAAAACTGGAAGCAAATAAATATGAAAAGCATTTCTAGAAGATGCTAATTTTTGGTCTAAGGCCTATGTATCAAATATTCGATTGAGGTGGTTGAGATTAGTTAGTCTTGAAAAAGAACAAACAATCCATTACTTCTATAGTTATATGGTTGTAAGCTTATGGCAAGGGAAAAAATAGAAAAGAGTTTAGGTGGAGTAGGATAGCATAAGGAAATATGGGATTTTATCAATGAGTGAATAGTTATTGGATTTCAAAATGCATCACCACTTGAATGCTAGATGTAGCCTACTATAGTACCATCTTCATGACTTCATCCATATTCTTTATACAGGGTTATGCTATTCATTTGAAGAAGAAGCTTGATTTATTTCATTGCTTGAAAAAAACTCATGCCAGAAAGAGCGGATGGGGAGAAAGCTGATGTTAGGTCTTACCACATGCAAAAAAAGTCCTCGATATGCTAGTTGTAAAAGGTCACTTTAAAGAAGTCTTGGACTATTCTCAGAAATCACAAGGTACGCCTTTACGCAATGCACAATTTTAAACAATGATGCAAAGCATGTTGGACGCCATTTGACAATATAATACACATCTCTTAATCAGTGTTGTTACAGCGTTGCTTAGGTGTAGCCTAACCGGCGACTAGGCGACCTGGCGATGGGTTGCCAGTGCTCATCGCCTCTCTATTAGCAAGGTTCAGGCACCTTTGTCTTTGTCCAAGAGTGAACCAGGCATCGCGCCAAAATGATTGATTTCATTTTTTAAAATTATTTTTTAATAATTAATTTCATTTTTAGGAGCCCAGCCCAAATTCCCAAAATAAGATTTAAAAAGTAGAATTTTATAAAGTAATACTACATCTGCTCTTTCTTAGTAATTAATTGTAACGATTTGACATTCACGTTTACCAATGCACAACTTTGATTGTAATTATATTTAATTACATATTAACAAACATTATAAAAATTATTAGTTTGGAAGTTCACATTAAGAGAAATTTAATAATATTTTTTACATATTGATTTGAATATATAGTGTGAATAGTGTAAAATTCAAAGTGTTGCAACTATTAAAGAACATAGGAAGTGCATGATAAAAAAATAAGGGAATTCAAACCTTCTCAACGATTGAAACTCTATAGTCCAATAACTCAAAAGTATTGAAAGTAAAAATAACTCTATATTCAAAAGCGAGAACTCGAAAGTTGATTAGCCTGTGAAGACTCATGGGTTAAACTGTTGAAGACGACCTCTCTGGCTCACTTGTTTCCATTTTTATCAGTATCATTTTCACTTACTTTCTAAGTTTCTATTGGGTGCCACTCCTTATTTAATTAATTATTATAGAGTATATAGGTATCTTACTCCATATCACTTATTAACTTGCCTATGATGTAGAGTGTCAGAGTAATAGAGTTTAATCATCAGCTATCAATTACTCCCTCTGGTCCTAAATAAACTTCATAGTTTGACTTTACAGTTTTTAAGATAGTGGAATTTTTACTTTTGACTTTCCCATCATGCCCCTACAAAAAGGTGATAAAGTGTAGTGTGAGAGACAAAGTAGGTGTAAAGTAGGTAATAAAGTAAGGGTAGAGGAGTAACTTTATGTTAAAAACTTGCCAAAAATAGAAGTGCGAAGATTATTTTGGACCTATCCAAAAAAGAAAGTGTGAAGTTTATTTAGGACCGGAGGGAGTATTTCTTTTACCATTTATCAGTATCGTCAAAAATATTCTTTTGTGTTTTTCTTTCCTTATAGAAATTATCATTGTTTTAAAAATTAATGTTTGTTGAGAACTTAACTGTTTAACGCTTTATTGCTTATTTCAGAGAGACATGTTTACTACTCTTTCCCAATAAGTTACTTCTGAATTCTGATGCAATGTGTCAGAGTAATAGAGTATATTATCACTTACTCCCTCCGTCCCATTTATATTGTCCCGGAAGAGGGTGACACGGTTATTAAGAAAAGTGAGTTTGTGTGGTTGATATTAATTGATAAAGTAAGAATAAAGTAAGAATGATTTAGAGCCACACAAACTTTGCCAAATATGGTATGGGACAATATAAGTGGGACTTCCCGAAAAGGTAAAACGGGACAAAATAAATGGGACGGAGGGAGTATGAGTTACTCCGTATCACTTATTTCATAGACCTTTTATTAGTATCGTCGAAAACATTTTCTCTGTTTTTCTTTTCTTTCATAAACTACCATTTTTGTTTGCAATTAGTACTTGTTGAGAGCTTAACCATTTGATCTTTTATTGCTTATTTCAGAAAAATATTTTTACGCTTATTTCCCATGAATAAGCCTTCTTATTATTAATATTGCGCCCACCAAGATAATTTTATGTTTTAGTTATGTTAAAGTTTGGAAAATAAATTACCCACCCACACATATATATAGACAGAGAAAGGTAAGTAGTCACCTCCTTTATTTCTGTGTCCTCATCTTCAAAAATGGTTTTCATCTCTTCCATCTCCCAAAGGAGGACATCCTCCAAAACTTCTGGACATAGTTCCTCCTCTGAAACCCAAATTACAAAAGAAACATCACAGAATGTTCTTTAAAAAGCAGAAAGTTCAATGATCACAGTAGCCCTACAAAATTACTTCTGGAATTGATGAAGAGGGAGATGATACATGAGGCGAGCTTCTCACGAGGGCGTCCTGATTGTTGGAGTGCCAGTTCAAGGGCTGTCCATCGAGAGAGGATTAGATTGATCCCTTCTTCCATGATGGGAGGCACCTTTGACATTGGAAGGGTAGTTGATGATGTTCTGGTTCCTTTGTTGTTGTCCATCTTTTTAACACCCCCACAAAACCTCAGTCTCCTACTTTTGCCACCAATAAAAATCCTGTTAATCTCAGCCTCAGTTATTCGTTTTAGTGTAGCATATTTAACGAGCCAGTGAAAAATTAGACAAATTCAATTGGAGTTCTAATTTAGCAACAGTAACATCTATTTTGAGGTTTTCAGTAGTAAAATCAAACTATTACTTGTAATTGTTTTGCAACCCAGTAAGCATTCGGAAAATTCAATCACAGTGGGAGTTCTAACATAGCAATATCCTTCCAAAAAAAAAAAAAAAAAAAAACATAGCAATAATGACATCTATATTGAGGTTTCAGTGACAAAATTCAATCAGCGGAATCCTACACTAGCAATAATGCCATAAATTTTGTGGCATCAAGTTACAAAATTCGAACTTTTTAATATTTATCCGAACCCAGCAATAATCTGCAGAATTTTGGCTCTCCTCTGTACGAAGGTAACACTCCCAGCGTATTGGATGGTCATTAAGTTGCAGCTTATTACAACTCCTTAATTTAGAAAATGATTCATCGTTTAAATGAAAGAACAGATAAAGAACGAACCTTAACAACACCCTCAGCGAATTAGACGAACGGCGTGGTGAAGACTGCGTGAGATTTCCCCATGTCTCGGGCATGTGATTTTCTAACTGGACCGGAACAAACACTTTGGGCCAATATCTATTTACTAACATTGAAATCCACGACTTCAGTAATTTGCTGATTTGTAGAATTATTATATTTAAAATATTTTTTTATGATAAATAAAGTAAAAATCTTATAGGAAATAGCCACAATGAACTCTAACACTAATTGTAGTTAATTCAATATAAAAGTAACTTAAACTCACTTATGTTGATCACTACAATGTATATAATTCAGCACAAAATCAAAAGTTATGCGTTTCATAAAATAAAAATGACTGATGAGAATGATACGTTAAAAATCATCGTCGCAGCCACCCTCTCCCTCGCCATCTCCCTAGTCAACGTTGTTGCTCTCTTTGACGTCGTCTCTGTCGCCTACGCCCTCCTCTTTGTCGTTCGTGTGATGATTTCAACGACGTCACCATGTTTGGCATTCGTTTTCTTCTCTTTTTACTCGCACGATTGGGGATGGTGAAGATCTAACAATGACGGCTGATTTGTTGATGGCGATTTGGCATAGATGTGTTGGCGAGTGAAATAGTTGTGGCTGCTAGGGTTTTTTGTGCGGCAACGATGACGGCTCAGGCTTAGGGCAGGGCGTAGCATGGAAAAGGCAATGGTGGAGCACTAGTGGTGCTAGATCGGCCATCCTTGATGGATGACGACCCGATTTGGGGCCGCAGCGACTGCGCGGGGTGTGGTGAGGATTTCAGCGAGGGGGTGTGGTGGTGGTGTATGGGTAGGATTTTTGGGCGAGCTCGAGATAGGCAAGGGAGTTGGTGTGTGTGTTATGGGAAGCTCAAGGGTAGTGGTGGGTCATCGAGGTGGCCACAATGGTGGCCGGATGATGTGACGGTTGAGGGTCGAGGGCTGGTTTTGGTGAATGGTAGTGACGAGATCATTCTAACAGTGTCACTATGGTCGGAGTCACTGTGGCAACATCATTGTGGCGGCGGCATTGTGGTGGTGTAAATGTTGTCGAAGTCACTGTGGCCGGAGATACTGTGTCATTGTGCCACTGGAGTACGTTGGGCCCCTGGAGTTATGTAATCGTGTCATTATTAGGCTAAATTTGTAATATTAGTCACATTTTTTGAAATTGAAATAAAAGGTCACTTTTTTCTATTATCCATTTTTAGTAATATTCGGGTCAAAACCCCTATGTTGTAAATCCCATAACTTAATCCAAATTTAACATGCGCGTAAAATTCACTCACATTGATAAGCATATTGAAATATTTAAAGAAATCTTATAAATTGCATCAACCACAATTAATTAATTTATATCTACCTCATTTTATTAATCTTAAATTTTAGTGTTCATTGTAACTATCATTTTCTTACATTAACTAATGTATACTAAAAAAATGTTGCATCATTGGTATTCATTTAGTTGAATTCAAAAATGCATTAATTGAATTTCAATGTTACGTAGAAGGTTTGGAAAAACATTTAAAAACTCTGTTACCATGCGCACAATTGAAGATGAATATTGATCAATACAGTGTTGCATATTTTTACACTGCTACTAATAGTGTTGTGGATTAAGTCTTTATATTATGTTAACATAAAGGCGAAGGTAGTGGTGGAGCACTGGTGGTGCTAGATCTGCCATCCTTGATGGATGACGACCTAATTTGGTGGTGCTTACTAGTAGAAAACTGGCTTACAGTGACACTTTCTGATATAATGTCACTTTTTTTTACTCTAGGGGGTCTGGGGAGGGGGCTGGGGGAGCCTGGAGTAATCAGGGATGAAACTCACTCCATTGAGTTTCAAACCCTTATGTTCCTCGCGGGTTTCGAACTCAAGACCTCTCGCTAGGCACGGTAACCTCACAACCAGATGGGCTGGAATGCTTGGTTTCTGATATAATGTCACTAATAACACAAAAGTGTCACTATTTTCTAACACAAATGCTTTAGCACCAAATAGTGACACTTAACATTTTCTACGGAATATGCTTGAACTTACACACGCGTACTTACTCAACTAATGGGTCGGCCTACTGCCCTACACAGAGTTTAATATACAGAGTAATATTTTAACACATAGGACACGTTTACTTCACGGGTTACTAAACGATTCTTATTAAGACCCGTGTTAATAAGCGGCACATAAAATAAGCAATGTTGTAAGATCACATTTACTTCAAAGGGTTTAAAACACCGTTTAACATTAAAATGTTCAAAATAACACTATACATATATAAACATACAAACATTCAAGTAACACAAGTATATAATATAACATGTGAGGCCACCTCGTACGTGTACCCATACCCCACCCCTACCCTACACCCTACACTCAATTCCACACCCTTGACCCCTACTCCTACCCTTACCACGACCTTACTCTTAACCCCTACTTCCTTACAAACTTTCATACCCACCCATACCCCTAACAACTATTACTCATAGGGTGAGGTCGGGGCCAGGGTCGGGTTGAGGTAAGGGCAGGTGGTATGAGGTAACAGGGTAGGGTCGGGTAGGGTAAGAGGGTACAGGACTTGTGGGGTGGGGTTATGGTCGAGGGTAGGATGGTTAAGGGCTAGGGGTAGGGGTGTGGTGTGATGGGGTAGGATGGGGTCGAGGTAGGGGAAGGTGGTAGGGGGTAAAGGGGTCGGGTAGGGAAGGCAACGAGCGGGTGTGGGGTAAGGTGTATGATCGGGGGTGGGGTAGGGTCATGGTTAGGGGTAGGGTACATGGTGGGGGGTAGTGGGTAGGGTGGGGTCGGGGTAAGGTAGGGTAGGGGGTAAGATAGCAGGTAGGATGGCGGTAGGGTGGGGTCAGGATCGGGGTAGGGGTAGGGCAGGGGTAAGGTACGAGGGTGGGGGTAGGGTAAGGTGGGTCGGGGTGGGGTCGAGGTGGTAGGGGGTAGGATGGTTGTAGGGTGGGGTTGGGATCAGGGTGGGGTAAGGTTGTTGTAGGGAAAAGAGGTACGCGGAGGGGGTGGGGTAATGGTTGGGGTAGGGTAAGGTAGGGGTAAGGTACGAGGATGGGGGTAGTGGGTAGGGGTGGGGGTCAGGGTGGGGTCAGGGTAGTAGGGTAGAGGGTAGAGAATATTATCCCTCGTATGACTAAAACATCTCTCATTTCTCAATATATGACTCTATGAGTTTATTTCCCACTATAATACGTGCATGATTAATTACTTTTCGTTTATGTTTTTAATTCCACAGTTGTCCTCCTAACATGATCAAGATGGAAGTAGTTTACTGTTTTAATCTTCCTAATTAGTAGGATATGATATGCACAGCCGTCCTTTTTATTAAATAGGAATCCTATTAATATATGGTAACTGCTTGGCTTACCATTATAGCAATCCTAGAAATATGGTAACTGCTTGGCTCATACGTAGTATATAATTTTAAGTATTATACTTCGTATTTATTTATGAACACATGTTTATTACGTAGTGTTAAATGTATTTCTAGTCATTTAAAAAAAGTATTATGCATTGCATATTCTCATTCATTCCCGACTTCCTTCATTTTCGGTCATTTTTTGTACTTTCATGGATGTACACTGTCATATTCTTTTTATTGCTCTTCACTACTACTCCTGATTAAACCATCTTACTGCCCTTTTCTTGTTTTACTAACCAAAGTTACTCTTCAACTAAACTTATTGCCCTTCTATGATTTTTTAACTGACCAATGTTATGACTCAACAAATTAAAATTACTGCCATTATATTGTTAATGGCATCATATTGTTTTCAAAATTACTACCCTTCTCTAGTTTTTACCTGACCAATATTATGACTCAACAAATTAATATTAATTACTGTCATTATATTGCTAAATTTACTGCCATTAAATTATACTCCGTATTGTATAACCAATGTTATATTACTGCCCTTCTCTAATTATGACCAATGTTATTGCATAACCAACTTACTGTCCCTCTCTTGTTTTTTTCTGAGTTAAATTATTGCCCAATATTTCACTTGATACTTCCTACCCTTTTTTGTTCACGATCTAATGCCTTAAATAATAATAATGCCTTAAATTCGTAATTACTGCATTCACTGATCCGCCGTCACTGAAACGTCGGAGTCCTTCGTCTTCACTGCACCGCCGTCGCTGAAACGCTGGTGTCTTTCGTGTTCACAGCACCACTGCTCCGCCGTCCTCAATCTCCACCATAGCTTTCTTTCATGTGATTCAAATTCTATTTTCACACGTTCTCCGTGCGTTTTGATATAGGTTGTAGAAGGAAAGAGTGTCCTTCTGGTTCTCTATTGCAATTAATACGGAGTATTATTGTTTATTTTCTGTTTTAGAAGAAAATTCCTTTTATATTTAAACAATGCAAAGATAGGGACAATCAAGTCATTTTGTTATGAATTTAAGACACCATGTACTTGTCGCACTGACTTTTAATCATCTTTTGGTCAATCATGTTTTTGAGTCATATAATGAGAAACTCACTATGTTTTACTAATACTACCGTATTTTTCCCAATGGTAAATTCGGAAACTGAAAAAACTTAAAATGTCGCTTAATTAATACACGGGGGGTGATATGCTTAGTAAGCGGTACTTTAAGCACATCTTTCGGTTAGTAAGCAGCTTTTTAAGCAGCTTTTTAGTCATTTCACTCTCCCGTTTCAGAATTCATCGTTCCCCGGCCTCCCCCGTTTTAGAACCCAACCCTAGCTAATTATTGCACTATTCTCCATCGACGATTGATTGCCGATCGCCGCCTTATTGAGTATGATGCACGACTCACTGGTGGTCCTTGCTAGATATGTAAATAATACTTCATCTCTTCCCTAAGTAATCCTTTAATTTTATCATCTAATATGGAAATCCTTCAAATAATCCTCGTCAATTCTCGTTGGTTTAGTTTTATTCATCCTTATTGTTTCTGTAATCCCTCACATTAGATTCAGACTCACCGACTAGTTATTCTAATCTTCTATCCTCAAACACTTCATCTTAAAATCCATGAGACTTACTTTAAAAAGATTGAAAGAATTGCAGATATTAAATGTGGAGCTAGTGGTCAGTGGAGGTGATTTACTTTAACTGTTGAT